GGCCGGGAGGCGGCCACGTGCGCCGGGGGCAGCAAGAGAGCCGTGCGGTTGGGGGGTCAGTCCCCGCGGCAACTTTGGGGGGCTCGTGGGGACCTCGTGGCGTGGATTCTGGCCGGGCGTGGGACTTCAGTTCACGCAGACCCTTCTGGAGAAGGGAGCCAGGAGGAAAGGAGTGTGTCCAGCCCGGAGGCTGCGGCCTCTCCCGTAGGTGGGGCTGGGGCTCCTTCCGGTGAGAGGCAATCCTAAGGTTGGAGGGCAGTAGGCAGCATCTCAGTGAGACTCCTGCCCAAGACACCTAAAGCGGCTATGGAGACTCCTAGTTTGGGGCACCACCGGAGGGGCCTAGGACATTATGAGAAGAGCACAGAGCTGGGGAGCCCCTTGAGTTCCCCAGGGCCACTACTCTTAAGCAGTGGCATTTAAGCTGATCAGAAACAAACTGGTCTCTCCAGGGTCTCTTAGAAATCTCTTCCAGTCACCAGAGCCCCTCCTGAAGAGACCAAGCCTAGAGACTTCTAGGGACTCAGGGGCCACCATGTGTCAGTGACAGCTCCTCTGGCTTCTTTAGCTCCACTGGGCAGTGGGAAGCACACCGGGTGAGAGTATGGGTCCCAGTCAGCAGGTGGCAGGTGCTTAAATCCCTTCCCCTACTCCCAGTCCTCTTGGCTGACAAGGAGGGGGAGCCAGTCCCAACAGATGAGGTGCTGGACGAAATTGTACCAGAGTACCAGGCCCCTGGGAAGAAGAGCATGCTGGCAATCTGGCAGCTGGACCCTGAGGACGTGAGCCTGGTCAAGTACAAGCAGGCGCTGCTGGGGCCCCTGCCACCTGTTGTGGGTATGGCCTGGGGCCTGGATGTGGGGGGGTCACAAGCAGGGAGTGGGAGAAGGTGGGGTCAGCAGGATACCCTGTGGATACTGTTTCTCCTCAGACCCCAGCCTGCCCAATGTGCAGGTGACCAAGCTGACGCTGCTGTCTGATCAGGCTCCAGGGCCTCTCATCATGGACCTTACAGGTAACCCCCTCTGCAGACCAGAGCCCATCTTTGGATGAAGACGATCCTAGGCTCTACCCTGTGCAGAATTCTACTTCTCGGGTGCATTGCCACAGACGTCATGGGCACCACCCGTCCCTACATAGACATTCGTGGGGCAGGGTCTTGCACATCCTGAAAATTTAGAGTGTACCTGTTATTTCTCTGACAGGAGACCTGGCTGCCCTGAAAAACCAGGTGTTTGTCCTGAAGGAGGGCATTGAATACAAGGTGAAGATCACCTTCAAGGTGAGGGTAGCTGCAGTAGGGGGCCAGCCATGTCCCAGCCTTCCAGAGAAGGCTCCTACCATTCTCCTTTCCCCCAGGTCAACAGGGAGATTGTCAGTGGCCTCAAATGTCTGCATCACACCTATCGCCGGGGACTACGTGGTGAGATAGTGTGGAGGGCAGCCTAGGTCTGGGAGAGGTGGGCGGTGGGGTGGCTCCTGACCACCTTCCTTCTGCAGTGGACAAGGCTATCTTCATGGTGGGCAGCTACGGCCCCCGGGCCCAGGAGTATGAATTTGTGACGACAGTGGAGGAAGCACCAAGGGGCGCATTGGCACGTGGTCTCTACGTGGTCAGGTCCCTCTTCACTGATGATGACAGGCTTGACCACCTGTCCTGGGAGTGGTGCCTCCACGTCTGCCAGGACTGGAAGGACTGAACCTTCTTGGGGCCTGTGTTCCCAGTTTCTGTCAGTTGCAGAAGGACCTGCAAGCATTCCCTAGACCTCCCAGTTGGTGATGAGATGTCCCTCACTCTGCTGTGTCCTGTCCTCCTGCCTGGTGCCCATTAAATGTTACCCTGTCTTGCTGCCCTCGTGTTGCCTCTTTCTGCCTATCTCCGCCCCTAAGGGGCCTTTCACGCTTTATCTTCTCTGAGACCCAGCCAGGTGCCACGTGGCTGTTGCTGCTTGGTCCCCAGTCCCTTTATCTACTCCAGCCTTCAAGGCCCAGCACGCCATGGATGGTCGACTCCTGCCAGTGTTGCTGCTCCTGCTGGGTGTCTCAGGCCCATGGGGACAGGGACAGGAACCTGAGGGCCCTTCAGAGGTGCTCCCTGAGGAGTCCACTGGGGAAGAAGTCCCCAAGGAGGATGGGATCTTGGTCCTGAGCCACAACACCCTGAGCCAGGCACTACAGGAGCATCCAGCCCTGATGGTGGAGTTTTGTGAGTGCTTCAGCCAGCGGTTTGGGGACCTTGAGGGCCTAGGAGTTCAGGCGTCTACCTCCTAGACTTGGCCTTTCTGGCACCCTGTGTCCCAGGAGCCCTGAGAGGGTGCCTGGACGGAGGCCCTGATGTTGAGCTGGGCTTGGTGGTGGTCTGGTCTGGGTGGCAAGGTGTGGTGGAAAAGCAGTAGCAGCTGGAGGGCGTGATGCCCAGAATCCTCTGCTCTTGTCAGCCGTGGCCACATACTGATGTTACTACCTTTGGGGCCTCTATTCCAAATGACCAGTCCTTCTGTGAAAGCACAATGTCCAGTTTGGGTGGCTCATGCCATATCCTGTGGCATATGTGTCTATGGTTCCTTATAACCCTTTACAAATGTCAAAGCCATTCTTAGCTGGTAGGCTTCAGAAAGCAGCTACATGTGGCCCTGGAGACAGGAAGCAGGATTCTTCCCAAACCCTCCCCAATCTCACTGTGCCTGGGCCCTAGGAGTCTCTGGGGTCTGGCATCCGGGTGTGGTTGTGATCAATGCCTAGGGTGGGCCTGAGGGAGGAGGTGAACAGAACATGCTTCCTGTTGGTCCTGGGCTGCAGCTGGGGCTGTTGAGGACTGATGTACTCACAGCCTCGTCCCCCAGATGCCCCATGGTGTGGTCACTGCAAGGCACTAGCTCCTGAGTACAGCAAGGCAGCTGCCCTGCTGGCAGCTGAGTCAGCTGCCGTCACCTTGGCCAAGGTGGACGGGCCTGCAGAACCAGAGCTGACCAAGGAGTTTGGCGTGGTAGGGTACCCTACACTCAAGTTCTTCCAGAATGGAAACCGCACAAACCCTGAAGAATATGTAGGTATGAGGTGGGTATGGCTGGGGGGATGGGTGGGGCAGAAGTCCAGTCTGAAATGGGGACATCTCTGCAGGACCCCAGAAGGCCGAGGGCATTGCTGAGTGGCTGAGGCGGCGAATAGGGCCCAGTGCCACACATCTGGAAGATGAGGAAAGTGTCCAGGCACTGATAGACAAATGGGATGTGGTGGCCATTGGCTTCTTTCAGGTAAACTGGGAGGGATGGACAGGCTATGGGAAGAGTGCTGGTGGTACCCACCATTCTCACAGGGCTGGATCTGTAGGACTTACAGGAAGAGGATGTGGCCACCTTCCTGGCTTTGGCCAGAGATGCCCTGGACATAACCTTTGGCCTCACTGACCAGTCACGGCTCTTTCAGAAGTTTGGCCTCACCAAGGATACTGTGGTCCTTTTCAAGAAGGTGGGTTAGGGCTAAGGACAGGGTTGGGGTCAGGGGCATACCTCCTGCTAACCTTGCTGGTGTCCAGTTTGACGAAGGTCGGGCCGACTTCCCGGTGGACAAGGACACTGGTCTGGACATGGGGGACCTGTCTCGCTTCCTCATCACACACAGTATGCACCTGGTCACAGAGTTCAACAGCCAGGCAAGTAAAGCTATAGGTCACAGTGAGGTAGGGTGGAAGGACCCTTAGAAGTGGGAGGCTTGAACCTTGGGCTGGGGGGTCCTCGAACAGAGGTCCAGTGAAGTTGTTTTCTACCCCTTCAGACATCACCAAAGATCTTTGCAGCCAAGATCCTCAACCATCTGCTGCTGTTTGTGAACCAGACACTAGCTCAGCACAGGGAGCTGCTGACAGAATTCAGAGAGGCAGCTCCCCCATTCCGGGGGCAGGTAGTGGGGGGCCAGGAGGGAGGAGTGGTAGGGCTAAGGGAGAACCCAACTTAGTTTGACTTTACTTGGTAGGTATTGTTTGTGATGGTGGATGTGGCCGCTGACAACGACCATGTGCTGAAGTATTTTGGCCTCAAGGCAGAGGAAGCCCCAACCCTGCGCCTGATCAATATTGAGACCACCAAGAAGTATGCACCTTCAAGTGTGGCGCCCATCACTGCAGCATCTGTAGCTGCCTTCTGCCAGGCAGTCCTCCATGGGGAAGTCAAGGTCTGTAGCTCTTAGAGGGAGGAAGGAGAAGTAGCCCTCCAACCTTGACCCTACATAAGACCCCCACGAAAGCCTGCTTGCTTCCCTAGCCCTACCTGATGAGCCAGGAGATACCCCCTGACTGGGACCAGCGGCCAGTCAAGACTCTTGTGGGCAAGAATTTTGAGCAGGTGGCTTTTGATGAAACCAAGAGTGTGTTTGTCAAGTTCTGTGAGTGCTGAAGAGGGGGAAGGTGGCAGGTTGGCGGGAGGCAGGGGTGTCAGCTAGCCAAGCCTGACTCCTCCCCCAGATGCCCCATGGTGCAGCCACTGCAAGGAGATGGCTCCAGCCTGGGAGGCACTGGCAGAGAAGTACAAAGATCGTGAGGACATTGTCATTGCTGAGTTGGATGCTACGGCTAATGAGCTGGAGGCCTTCTCTGTGCATGGCTATCCCACCCTCAAGTTCTTCCCGGCAGGGCCAGACCGGAAGGTGAAGGGATGGATGGGGTGGGGAGTGGACTACTACTCCATAGCTGGCTTGGCTAGCATCAGTTTGTGGCTGGTGAGCATGCCCTCAGGTCCTTCTCTTTCTCCTCAGGTGATAGAATACAAAAGCACCAGGGACCTAGAGACATTCTCCAAGTTCCTGGACAGTGGAGGTGACCTGCCCGAGGAGCCCAAGGAGCCTGCAGTCTCCAACCCAGTGGGTACTCCATTCAGGATACCAGTCCTTCAGTAGATTCTCTCCCAGCAGCATGGGCAGAGGCAGGTCTGAACTGGGCTTCTTTGATCCCTTCTAGGAAATACAAGCCAATTCCACCATGGGGCCAAAGGAGGAGCTGTAGCCATTTGCACACTGCATTCCAGGGAGTGGTGTTCTCGAGCGCTGGAGGGAGATGTGCACTATGAATAAAAATGTTTTCCCAGACTTTGTGTGGTTCATGAGCAGGGCTGGCTGGTCTCCCTAGCCTGGTCCCTGGTGCTTGCCTCTAATTCAGTACCTCATGGGATCCGACTTCTCTTGTGCTCCTGACTTTGGGGCTTGCCTGAGAAAGAAGGGGTAACACATACAGGGTTGCCTCCACTGCTTGGCTGGAGGGCAGCACATCCCTTGGCCCTGCCCCATTAGCAGCAGACAGTATATTTCACAGACCCAAAGCAGTTCAAAAACTGTTTTATTTCATTATTATCCAAGTACCTTTGAAAAGATAATTGTACAAGTCATCGCATGAAAAATGGGCTCAGGGTACCCCCTGCTGGCCCTGGCCTGAGAAATATACATATTTACATGGACACTTAGAAGGGACCAGACCCCGCCCCCCTGCTGAACCAAGCTGGTGGCTGGAGACAGGCAAAGGGGCCTGAGGTACTCAGCCACCAGATTCACACAGTGGCAGGCAAGAGACAGCATGTTGAAGGCACTCAGTGACATGTACAATATACAGAGGCCCCCAAAGGATCCCCTGCTTCTGGGCCTGAGCCCAGCCAGGTGCAGTGGATAGGTCCCAGAGGGAGGGGAGGACACTGGAATACAAGCCCAGGTAAAGGTATCCCTGGGTCAGTCTGCATTCAGAAGCAAGAGCTGCTGAGGGTCATGAGATGGCTCCTGGTATTGCTTCAGGGGGTGATGTGGGGGTAGGTGGGGCTTTCCTTTTTGAAAAGCAAAACAGAGAACCCCATGGAACCACTCAGTAGGAACCCCTCCTTCCCAGACCCAGAGGGACAGAGGTATGGCAGACACCTGAGCCCCAATCCCAAGAGCTTGTGACACAATCTTGCGCTGTTCCCCACATCAGGCTCCTGAGGACACGGCTGCTCACTGGCCGATGACTGTGCACCTTAGTGATGGTGTAACCTGGGTGTGTTGCCCAGTGCTCAGTCCACCTTTTCCACCTTGCCAATGATCTTCTCTTCAAAGACAGGCAAGATTGCCTCGTCCTCCCGCACTTCTTCAAATACCACACCACAGTCAAACTCGTCACTCACTTTCTTAAAGTAGTATCTAGGAGCAGAAAATTGTGGAGACAGTGAGAACACCCAGCTCCAGGAGAGGAATGCCTGTTCTTGAACCCCTGAAGTCGTACCACCCTACAGTGCAGGTTTGCCCCAGCTAGTGAACTGGGACCTGGCTGATGCCTGCATGGCCACACTTAGGGTAGAGCTGGGACCACTGAAAGGGCTAAGTTAACAGCATGTTGAGAATTGATACAAAACCCCTGGGAGCCCCAATTCTGGCTTCTGGTGGGTGTGGAGGCACTGATAGGATTATGAAGATCCAGTAAGATATATAGGATTATATAGGATCCAGGAAGAGCAGAAGTCCTGCCACCCACATGGGCTGACACGAGTAGGACTCACAGGCTCTCATGTCACTCAGGTATCAGCAATCTTTCTATTGGAGTTTAGAGTTGGCTGACATGGAGGAAGAGGTCTGAGGCTAGAACAGAGGGCCAGTCCAGCTTTGAGGCAGGGTCCTGATGCCACCCAATCCTGATGTGCCCTAAATAGGGCAGTAAGCAGCAACCATGGCTGATAGAAGGGGGGTGAAGGGAAAGATAAAAGACCAGTGGGACAGAAAACACTTTCCTTCTACACTAAACCCATAAGCATGCTGGGCATGTGTGCTTTACGGCTGTGGCTTCTTTTCTCACCTGTAGCTCCCCTTTTTGGTTAGCAGCTCCTTGAACTGGCCCAGGGTGACG